GGGTGCCCAATAACACAGAGGTGCATTCCAAGCGATCGGCTCCACCATGCAGACCTCATGCAACCCTGGTCTCCTTCCCTTACAGCTGCCAGGGTAGGATGGGACACCCCACACAGAATAAGTTGGGTTGGAAAGGACCTTAAGATCATCTAGTTCCAGCCCCCTGCCATGGGCAGGGACACCTCACACTAGACCATGTTGCCCAAGGCTCTGTCCAACCTGGCCTTGAACACTGCCAGGGATGGGGCATTTACCACTTCTTTGGGCAACCCATTCCAGTTCCTCACCACCTTCACTGTGAAGAACATCCCACCTCCTCACACCCTCTATGGGCTGTCCCCAGGGCGTCCACCTACCAGTGAGCGTGGCTGCTGTGCCAGGCATGGGCAGGCTCTCCCCAATGCTGAAGACGGTGTCCTCAGTGTCCTCGACACCCAGCTGGTGCTGCAGGATGCCCTCCAGGCACTGTGTGATTTCCAGGAATGAGGGGCGGGAAGTGGGCTCTATCTGTGGGCAGGAGGGGTTCCCAGTCAGATCTGCACCCCCCAAGCACCCCAGCAGAGGCAGGGAAGGGCAGGGGAGATGAGATGGGACACTCACACTGCAGCAGTGGAACGCGAGCTGGAGGAAGGCCGCTGGGCAGTCGATTCCCACCATGGTGCGGAAGGTGGTGATGTCCAGACCAAAATCCTGACCCCGGGAAATGAAGAGGAATGAGTCTGGGTCCCCTGGACACCGCATAGGACCTGCGATGGCCAGGTCCCCCCTCCCTGCACTGACTACATGCCACTCAGGGCAAGCTGGGGCAAGGCTGGGGGATGCTGAGACACAGACCCCTCCTGCTCTCTGCCTCAATAGAGTCCCCTTCTCCCACCCAGGCTGACTACGCGCTCTGAGGACGTTATCAGCAGAGAGCATCCCTCCGTGGGCAGCATTTGGGACACAACACCCCTGCCCTGAGATGTGGGGCAGCTCCTGAACACAGGGCTCTGCCCAGCACAGGAGGACGGTCCCCCCCTCATTTGGTAAAGCAATCCCAGTCCTGGTGCTTTTGCCCACAATGTCCCTCCCCATCCCAGGGAGTCACCTCGGTGCGGGGCAGGTAGTCGGGGTCAGCAGGGACACGAGCAATGGTCTCACACAGGATGATGCCATATGCAAACACATCAACCTGCAGAGAGAAGGGAGTCATGGGGGGGGCCTGCAACCCCGAGGTGGTATGCCCATCATTCCATGACCCCACAGCCCCCCTCCTCCCTGCAGAGCCACACTAGGGCCCTGCCACCTCGCCACCCAGTTTCTTCCCTCTGTGAGCTGCAAATCCTGCAAAGCTCTGGCAGCACAAACCTGGATAAAGCCCCATGCACAGCAGCACCCACGGAGCCTCACCTTCTCATTGTAGATCTCCCCTCGCAGCACTTCGGGCGCCATCCAGTACGGGGAGCCTACCACAGCCAGCGGCTCCTTCTCGCTGCCTTCACTGGGGGACATGATGGCACATCAGGGGCTACCCACAGTCCCCTGTCCAACCTCCCATCCTCCCGCTTGGGCAGCCCAAACCACCACCTCCATCTCCTTTCCTGAGCTAACCCTCCTCCATGCACCCACAAACACACCTCTCTGCACCCGCACCATCCGCTTCTCCATCCAGCCCCTTCTCAGAGTCAGCCCCAAACACGTCCATCTGCCCCATGAGTCCCCACCACAGGGGAACACCCCCACCGCTCCTGTCCCTGCTCTTCTAGCTGCATCCCCAATGCCCATCCCTTCCCAGCTCCCTTTCCAAGTGGGCTGGGAACCCCGCATTCCAAGCATGGGGATGGATGGGCGGACGCTGCTCGAGTACCTG